ATATGGTTTGACAACTTTTGACTTCACAAACTCCAAAGAGGTGCAATCTGCAAAGGCACCTGTTCACGAATCTGCACACTTTTTTGTCCTCCGTGCCATCTCTCAAAATAGACAACTTTTCCCGTGCCATCTTTGCTCCATTCTCTTCTTGACTCATTGAAGTAACATTATGAATAAATTTGGGCTCAAAACTCTTTGTTGGTTCTTGTGCATTAACAAGCTTTTGAAGGTGCAGTGTGAAAGCCTCTTTAATCTTCCTTGCCTTTCTTGTAATAATTGCTCCTTTGATATATGTAATTGGTCACAAATGGATTCGTATCAATTGGTCCCTCGGGTACATTCAATGGATCCGTGGTTGGATTTGCATCATCCCCCCTTTCTTTAAAAGGATTTGTCCCCAAATCAAGGTCTTCATTTCCTACATCAAAAGGAGTCAAATCAGCCACATTAAAAGTAGAACTTACATTTTACTCACCTCGAAGATCCAGTTTGTACACATTGTCATTGATCCGTTCAAGCACTTGAAAAGGACCATCTCCTCTTAGTTGAAGTTTTGACTTCCTCTGATCTGGAAACCGTTCCTTTCGTAGATGAACCCAAACCCAATCACCTGGGTTAAAAATAACTTTCTTTCTCCCTTCGTTCTTGCGACTTACTAGCTTTCGATTCTTGTTCTCAATCCGTTCCTTGATCTCTTTGTGTAATGTTTTGATGTATTCGGCTTTAGACAAAGCTGCATCACTTGTAAACATATTAGGTGGCAAAGGTGTTAAATCTAAAGGAGTTAGAGGATTAAAGCCATAAACAACCTCAAATGGTGAACAATGGGTGGTGCTATGTACAGCTCTATTATATGCAAACTCCACAAAAGGTAGAGTCTCTTCCCAAGACTTAAGATTTTTAGAAATGAGTGACCTAAGCAAGRCCCCTAATGTTCTATTAACCACCTCAGTTTGACCATCGGTTTGTGGGTGACAAGTTGTAGAAAACAAAAGCTTGGTACCCAATTTGCCCCATAAAACTTTCCAAAAATGACTTAAAAACTTAGCATCTCGATCACTAACAATTGTTTTAGGAATGCCATGTAGTCTAACCACTTCCCTAAAGAAAAGATTAGCTATATTAGTAGCATCATCTGTTTTGTTGCATGGAATGAAATGTGTCATTTTACTAAACCTATCAACCACCACAAAAATGCTATCATGATGTCTTCTAGTTTTTGGTAACCCCAAAACAAAATCCATGCTAATGTCAACCCACGGTTCACTAGAAACTTCTAAAGGTGTGTAAAGACCATGTGGTTGAGTCTTAGACTTAGCCTCCTCACATTTGAAACATTGCTTGCACACTTTGTTCACATCTTTCCTCATTTTTAACCAATAAAAGTGTTCACACAACATGCTATATGTTTTAAATTCTCCAAAATGTCCCATAAGTCCTCCCCCATGAGCCTCCTTTACAAGCAACTCCCGAATGGAACACTTAGGAATACAAAGCTTACCTTTTCTAAAAAGCATATCATCAAACACAAGATAATCATGTATATTTTTCCCTTCCAAACATTGCACATACACATCATAAAATTCCGATTTCTCAACTTTGTACAACTCAATCATATGCTTAAAACCAAGAATTTTTGCACTAAGTGAAGAAAATAGAGCATACCTCCTTGATAATGCATCGGCCACTACATTGTCCTTACCTTTTTTGTAATGAATGACATAAGGAAATGTCTCGATGAACTCCACCCATTTAGCATGCCTCCGATTTAACTTTGTTTGGCTTTTGAGGTGCTTCAAACTTTCATGATCGGTATGGATAACAAATTCTTTTGGCCATAAGTAGTGTTGCCAAGCTTGTAAAGCCCTCACAAGTGCATGGAGTTCCTTGTCATAAGTTGGGTAGTTAAGCTGTGCTCCATTTAGCTTCTCACTAAAGAACATGATTGGCCTTTTTTCTTGCATCAAAACAGCTCCTATACCTATCCCACTTGCATCACATTCAATCTCAAAAGATTTGTCAAAGTTAGGCAAAACAAGACAAGGTGGATTGCTCAATTTATCTTTCAATTCATTGAATGCATTTTCTTGCTTTTCTTTCCACTCAAATTTAGCATGCTTCTTAACAAGTTCATTTAGTGGTGAGGCTATGCTACTAAAATCTTTAATAAACCTCCTATAAAAACTAGCCAACCCATGAAAAGACCTTACCTCGGTTGCATTGGTGGGTGTTGGCCACTCTCGAATAGTCTTTACCTTTTCCTCATCAACTTTCACCCCATCCTTTTCAACAATGAACCCTAAGAAGTTGACTTGGTCTTGACAAAAACTACACTTTTTGATGTTGGCATAAAGCTTTTCTTCTCTAAGTTTTAGTAAAATTGTCTTGACATGCAAAATATGATCATTCAAGCTTTTTTAGTAAACAAGAATATCATCAAAGTATACAACAACAAATTTTCCAATATATTCTCTCAAAACATGATTCATTAGCCTCATAAAAGTACTTGGTGCATTAGTAAGGCCAAATGGCATAACAAGCCATTCATACAACCCAAACTTTGTTTTGAAAGATGTTTTCCACTCATCTCCCACATGCATTCGAATTTGATGGTAACCACTTTTAAGATCTATTTTTGAAAACAGATTAGCACCATGTAATTCATCTAACATGTCATCCAATCTAGGAATAGGATGTCGATACTTTACCGTGATTTTGTTGATGGCTCGACAATCAACACACATCCTCCATGTGCCATCTTTCTTGGGTACCAAAATTACCGGAAC